GCGTGCCGAAAAATCCTTCTCTACCCCACTCAGGCACTCACTCTTTATCATCCTTCAAACTCAGAATATCTTCCTCCACATTAAAATTGTATATGAGAGCTAAAATATATAGTTTATGAACTAGGCTACAGACCATTTACAAGTGATGAAAGGAAATGGATTGATAAAATTACTCCAAATGGGCAAAGAACAGATTTTTAAACTTTAATGTAAGTATCCTAGTTCTAAGTGTACCCTGAAAATTAAGGAAATTTTCTTAAGCAAAACTTATGATTTTGTATACAGAAAGAAAGATAGTAATATCATACTTCAGCATGCGTTGTAGGATCCAGCCCATACAATGGATTATATTCAGATGCAGAAGGCGCTCGACTTTTTAGAAATTGGCTTAACCTGAAAAAATTTCATAGGCGAGCACAACGTTATATATCATTGAATCTTCAATAAGGTAGGAAGGTGAAAAATAACTTAACCAGATGTCAGCTTCCATGCAGAATTACCTTATATAAGCAGCACATCTATTGCTCAAAATAATAGGATCACCCGGTTTGACAAGAATGGCTTTTGAATAACAATCAATTGCCTGCAGTGACGGATAATCAAAAAGTAGTCCAAACAAAAGGGTCCCAAAATGAAAAAAATATAACAGCATACCATCTAAAATTATTTAAAAGTCCCACTTTTAAAACTAAGATTAAATTGATTAGAATGATAATGCCCCAAACAGCTCACTATATGAAGTATAGATGCCAAGTTCTAATTAAAGCTTGCAAAATCCTAATTTTTACAATAACTAAGCCAGATAGATTTCTCCAAAAAAAAAAAAAAAAAAAAAAAGTTTAAAAAAAACAGTTTCAGAAAGCCATTATTAAATTGCATAACTAACTTCAGATTCCTAGACCGAGTATCACCAATCAGAAGGATCACACGAGTTACTATATGTTGTTACAAATGCATGAATTCCAAACTTATATCCCTGGCTCTACTTTTTCAGCACACAGCTTGGTGTATACAGTATTGACTATTGAGAATGACCCATCATATATCAGGTAGTTAAAAATATTCGCCTCATAGAATTAACGCCCACTACCAAAGCACCACGTGCTAAATACCTCTTAAGGAAATTAATGTCAAAATGCCAGCAGCTTAAAGTTCCAGGGTCCAAATCTTTTTGCTTTTGGAAAAGTATAACTAGTATGAAACCCTTGGCTTTGATAATGCATCATTGAACTTGCTTGCAGCACGATTTTATAACTCGAAGATCACATGAAAAGGTAAGCATTACGATGAGACTCACTGTTACACAGTCTAGACAGGAAAATTGGATGGTCAATAGAACACATTGAAAGGCTGTATTTTGCGGTACAGGAACAGGTTTAGACTTTACAACAACATTCAGCAGTGATTAAACGCCTCTATTAGACTGCACAGAACCTGATTAAAAGCGCTCATGGATCAACTTATCCACAGCCTGATTTCTTTAGGGGTTATTTTACATATTCAGTTAGACTAATTTCAACTTACCACTACACAAGGAACATGTTATTTCCACAAATGCAGCGATAACAGAAACCATATATCCAAGCACTGACCATGAACAACAGAATGACTAGCCACACAAGTGCTTGTGGCAAATACTCCTCTTGTTCGAATTAATTTCACATCGTTCAAACCCTTCATAATTAAGAATTCACCATAACTTCACCACAAAATGCCCTAATTAATACTCCGTACTAAGTAGCTAGAAAGAAGTACAATTATAAAAACTCGAGTTCAAATGTAATGATGAAGTTTTAACCTTTCAGCTTCAAATGCAAATTCATCTTCATAAACAACTTCTCTAATATCCAATCATATCATCCAAACAAAAATTCTAATTCCATCATTATATAAACAACAATTACCAAATTCATCCAATTTCAAAAATAAACAAAAATAAATAAACAAACAAATTCAATTAATTACCTCCTCAAATCTCCCTCGACGAAAAGCTTGATTTCCAGTCTTGACAAAGTCCAAAACCTGATGAATTCTCTCATTCGTCATCGTCGATTCCTTCTCATTCACCTAAAAATTCCACACAAAATCACTCCAAATTCAAAATCACTTCATAAACTACTTCAACAAATCAAAAACACACTAAAAACTGAACAAATTACTCAATCAAACAAAACAAAAAAATTAAAAACAGTATCAATGAAACACTAACACAGACGAATTCTTCAACATCATCAATTCCATCGGAAAAACCTCCGATCACCGGAGAATTCTCAGTATTCGACATGACTTGCCTATTTCTCTCTCTAAAAATCAAATAATTTCTCTCTCAAAAATAAATTTACATATTATCAGTGAAATGCAGAAGAAGAGGAGAGAGAAAGAGAGAGCAGAGGTAGAAGAAGAAGAAGAAAAAGGGGGGAAATGAAAAGAAGAAGAGAGGAATCGTGTTCATCTTGGAGTCGTACGTTATACACACGGACCATATTCGATTACGTGGACTACGTAGTTCGGGTAATCGGGTATATCTTTCTCTCAAATTCTTCATCCTTTTTATTTTATCTCTATCTTTCTTCTCTCCACTTGTTTGTGTCACAAATGATTCTTTCTTTTCGTCTTTAGTTCCCGGATTTTACTGGCATCCCGCATCCGTTATACTAGTAATTTTGTTGTAGTAGGTCATGGGCGGGTCGTGATTGGGTAAGTGGGTCAGGATATCGTGTCGGGTTAGATTTTGATTTGGGGTGACGAGTTGAGTGAAATGATAATGAGTTGTCTTTTAAAAAAATATATTAAAAGTTGAATTAGAGGTGATAAATTGGTTGTATAGGTCAGATAGCTCATTAAGAAATTTTGGATCAAATTGAGTCAGTTCAAGTTGAATTACTTAGAGTCTGTTATTATATATGGTAATTTGTAGAAGAAGATAAGTTGGTTTCTTCCATAGTTATTTTCAATATAGGAACATATGTATTTGATTTATTTATCGAATTTCAGATTTGTATGGATTCAAAGTGACAATAATTAGATCAAATTAGGTTTGTGAAGTCGAAGTTAAAGTGATCTCGGTGCACAATTTTTAAGTAAGGTAAGACCTTAAAAAAAGGTTAGCAGATTTTAATAGGTAAGAAATTTAGTAGGTTGGAAGGATGGGAGGAGAATATGAGAGACATAAAGTTAATGGAGAGGGGTTGAGTGTAAAAATTTATTCATTTTAATCAAAAATATGTTTTTATAACTATCCTAAAAAAAGAATATGTTCTTAAGAAAGTCTATGTGCCACATAGACCCTTTTACTTGTGCCACATCAGCTACTCAACCTCTTATTATGCCGCTAGGGCTGTGCACGGTGCGGTTTGAGATCCAAACCGCACCAAACCGCAAAATTGCGGTTTGTGATTTTTTTCAAACCGCACCGCAAAAAACGATGTGGTTTGCGGTTTTTCCATAATTGTTTTACCTCACAAATAATGATTATTTGCTAATCTTTTATTATGAAATTTTTACTTGGAAACTGTACAACTATGCAAATAATTCAATAAAGAAGTAGTGCTTTAGTTCAATGTTAATAGTGACTCAATAACATGCCAAGGCAAACATGGAGCAAAATCATTAAGTAAACCACAACCACTCCATTACAACTCCAAAGCACAAGAAAACGGAGAGTAATAAGAAAGGAAAACTTTGGTTTTCTTAATAATGACCCACACAATTCAGTACATATAAATACAGTATAAGAGTCTTCTTTCAATATAAGAGTCTTTGCATTAAATTGCGGTTTGCGGTGCAGTTTGGTTTGAAATTTTTTTGAAACCGCAAAACCGCGGTTTGGTCAAATTTAAAAACCGCACCGTAATTTCCAAACCGCACCAAACCGCAAAATTGCGGTTTGGTGCGGTCTAGACCGTACTCTGCACAGCCCTATATGCCGCATCGTCACTTAAACAACCTTAAATATAAGGAGTAAGAAAGATGGTTAACAAGTAAATTAGCAACTATATTATAAATATGAAAATAAAGGTGTATAATTGCAAATCCCAAGTACTAATAAAAAAAGGGAAAAAAAATACCAAAAAGGTTAAATACATATAATCATAAGGTTTAATTAAACTAGTATAGCAACCCGGTACAACGCTCAAAACACACATTAGTTTTTTTATATTAAAAAAAATATATTAAACTATGTGTCACATGTATCTTTCTTACAATAGTATCATGCCACATCACTACTTAATAGCCCATGCCAACGTTACATGTGTTCCTTCTTGCATTAGTATAGTAACTAGATTAATCTCATGCGTTGTACAGTTTAAATAGATTTTATTTGTTTAAAATAGTTGTCAATATTCTTTATTCGAAATAGTGTAATCATAATCTTATTTACTTCATATTAATTTTGAAAGAAGTACTGTAATTGTTTAGTTTTAGAATTTAGGAGAAAAAAAAAATTAGAGAAAAAAATGATGATGTAAAAAATAGCTTTGGCGGGAAAAAATTTCATAAGAAATTGACAAGTGTCCTCTAATGATGTTAGCATGTTATTTTTTTTTTTAATCACCATGTTTTATTTTAGTAATAGTTAATAGACATTGTGCCACATCACCACTCAATAGCTCATGTCAATGTTAACTAAAAATCTATAGAAAGAGGTTTGAATTCTCATGCCAACGTTTCACGTGTACCCTATATGAAAAACATTACTGATTATTTAAAAATAAGTGCTAATCTTGACTTTTTTCAGCTTACCTTGATGAAGTGTTCACCTTCACCCCCATGTTTTTGCATGTGGTACTTCTGCCTCCCAAATTTCAATATGCTCAAGATCTTTTTCGGCATTTTATTTATTTATTAATTGAACACGAATCTTATGTTAAGATATTTCTTGTTTACTTCATTTAATAGTCTTTGTTAATAACTATTTTATTGAATAATTGTACCAATTTTGTTTTATATTAATGAGCACGCATAAACTAGGCACCCACTCCACTTTTATCTCACTTTCTTCTCAAACTTCAAATTAAAGAGACAATCTTTCATAGTTTCTGTTCATTTTTTGATTCATTATTTAAATTGTTAGATGGGTTATGTGACCACTTCAAATAGCATAAAGATCATCATATTATGTAGTTTTGTTGTCATCATTGTGCTTAGGGGCACTATTGGAATTGGAAGCCTCGAACGATCTTCAGCTAAAATTGGAAATCAAGCCCTCAATAACGAGACGAATCAGGTACTTGTTGAACTTCAATCGGACAAGAATGTATCCGACCCTAATAGTCTGATTAAGCCATCTATTGACCCCAATGTGACCTACACGCTTGATTCCAATAGTTTAGATAACACACCCGTCTACCCCAATGTAACCTATACATCTGACTTCAATAGTACAGATGAGCCACCCTTTGACCCTAATATGATTTATACATCCTACTCCAATAGTCTAGAAAAGCCACCCATTAATCCCAACATGACATATACATCCAACTCTAATAATCCAGACAAACCATCCATTGACCTCAATGTGACCTACACATTGGGGCCAAAGATAACCGATTGGGATTCCCAGCGCCAAAAATGGATTGAGCAAAACCCGGACTTTCCCAACATTGTTAATGGGAAAGCCCGAGTTTTGCTTGTGACAGGTTCATCCCCTGACCCTTGTGAAACCCCATTTGGGGATCATTATTTGGTAAAGGGGATCAAGAACAAGATTGACTATTGTAGGTTACATGGTATTGAAATTGTGTACAATATGGTTTACTTAGATGAAGAAATGACAGGATTTTGGTCAAAATTACCCTTAATTAGAAAGTTGATGCTTTCTCACATAGAAGTTGAATGGTTTTGGTGGTTAGATAGTGATGCACTTTTCACTGATATGGTGTTTGAAATCCCATTACAAAAATACAAAGATCATAACCTTGTAATTCACGGGTACCCGAGTTTGTTAGAGGAGAAATCATGGATTTCACTAAACACCGGAAGTTTTCTCCTAAGAAATTGTCAATGGTCATTAGACTTGCTAGATGCTTGGGCACCTATGGGTCCTAAGGGCGCGGTGAGGGATGAGGCAGGGAAGCTCCTAGCCGCGAATTTAAAAGGAAGGCCTGTTTTCGAGGCAGATGATCAATCCGCATTGATATACTTGTTGATTAACCAAAAGGAGAAATGGATGGAGAAGGTGTACATAGAAAACTCTTACTATTTGCATGGTTTTTGGTTAGGTTTAGTAGACACATATGAAGAATTGGAGGAAAAATATCATCCTGGATTAGGGGATGAAAGGTGGCCTTTTGTGACACATTTTGTGGGTTGTAAGCCTTGTAATAGTTTTCGTGATTACCCGTTTGAGAAATGTTTCAAGAGTATGGAGAGAGCATTTAATTTCGCCGATGATCAAGTTCTTAAGCTATATGGACTAAGGCATGGGAGTTTGTTGAATCCTAATGTTAAGAGAATTAGAAATGAAAGTGATAATCCTCTTAAGTTTGTGGATGAACTTGATATTCGAAGGCACAAAGTCATTGATTCATCAAAGAGTTAGTAACAACAGGATTTGATTTAAGTTATTGTAAGGTATGGTTGATGGCAGAGGAATATTTTTTGGTCATTCATAGTACTAGTTGTATATTTATTCTTTAATCTTTATATACTACATTCATGTGTTTGTTACGAATGTACAGTAAGTCAGTAAATGACTTTTTGTCTTTGTAAAACAATTAATTATACACATTATGCTCCATTGAAGAAGTTATTTGCTAGTACTCCTTATTATGTTGAGGATAATCGGTCTTTTACTATCAATGCTATTATAATTTATATGTAGCCATGTAGGGATCGGTTTTTATCATTACACCTATTATTTAGTGAAGTTTATTCGATTTTTCTTATGGGCAAAAGAGAAATTTACCACTATGTAGTAACCAAATACACAGTAAATATATTTCGCATGCGTGCCTTATTCAAATACAGAGTATAATTTAATATGAAGTATATATAATTCAAAAACAATACTTATGAGCTCGACTTATGTGCTGTAACATCTCTTTAATTCATAACTCTATTTGTTTTTATTTAACTTATGTGTTCAAAAATGGTGAATCTTAGAGTTTTTGAGCCAATCTTATATGTATTGGGCTCAACTTGAGTCTTGGTAATTTGAACTCAAATACAACTTACTTGAGTAGATCTTTGGTACTTTGGTAGAGCCAAGTTTGATTAGCTTGCACCATGTTAGCTTGGTCTATGAGTAGGAGTTCTCTTTCGATTGTAGGGTAACATTTTAAAATATTTTCGTACTACTTTGTGAACAAGAATTTCCCTTATCCTTTCTTTCTTCATCAATCTCAAAGGCTTAGATTGAGTTGACTCGTAAGGGATGATGAATGTTAGGGGTACACTTGGTGTACTTAAAAATATTGTACACCAAACTCCCTATTGGTTGAAAGAAAATCTTATTTTGAATTGGGCCATCCTTCTTTTCCTTTCATGCTTATCTTGGCTGAATTGGCAATATTTTATTGGTGGTGTACAAGAGAATTTTGTACATCAAATGTAACCCTACCCTTTCCCGATGATAAACTAAAACTTGTTTCCTCACCTTTCAAAAATTATATCCATCCATAAGAGTGGAATAAAATGTTTAATATTTTTGTTAATGTTTACTTTAATGCTAATCACTCCCACATACTGCCTCAAAAAAAAAAAAAAAAAAAAAACACTCCCACATACTTTTATTACGAAATATCACTTTAAAAATATAATTATCCAGCGCTTTTACTCATCATTAACAAAATTATCGCCAATTTATTACCACATACCATACCGGCCATCGAACATTTCTCCATCAATCTTTACCTCTCCATCCCTAATCCCCCTACTTCAAATTAGGATCATGACCCATTTGTGTGGTTTGACTATCACTTGTATAGTGATTACAGAAGAGAGAGAATAAACACAAATTATACAACATGGATGACCCCGAAGAAGAAGCCACAAATCGATTCAAATTCAACGACTGGGACTCACTCCCTTCCACCCACAACCACCACCATTCCTCCTCGCACCACCCACTTCCTCTTCGAACCACCCATCACCGCCACCATCATCTTTCCGTCTTCCCGCCGATTAACCATGAAGGTCTTCCAGTCCCACCACCACCACCGCCGCCACCTCCGCCGCACGCGCCGCTTACTCTCTCAACTTTCACTTCCGACTCTGATTCTCCCTCCCCTTCTTCTCCTCCTCCCCCGCCAAAACCCAGGAATTCTTTGTTGATTAATAAATGGGTTGATTTTGTTATTCATATGTGGAATTCTAAGCTTCGGTCTTGTCTTGGGATTGTTTGCTCTCATGGGTTTTTTTCCTTGGTTTTTCCGGCGGCTTCTACGGTCTGGGTTTTGGGTTTTTTGTGGTTTTGGGTTCGGCGGCGGAGGTGGCGGAAGCGGTTAAGGAGGGATGGTGGGAAGGAGAGTGTTAAGCATTTGAAGGTCTTGATTAAGGAAAAAGATGAGGTGGGTGTTTTGGTTTTTGATTTTTCATTGATTTGTTTGATTTTGGAATGCTTGTTACGTGTTTGTTGAAATGCCTCTGTCAATTTTGTATGATATTGAGTGCTGCATTTGCTTATTTATTACTGTATTTTTTGGAATTGCTCTACTTTCCATGAAGTGTAGGATGGAATTTTGAAAAAATGATTGAATTTTTCACAATGTACTATTCCTACTCTACTTGTTGCAATTCAGCTCAACATGTAGATATCACATTATGTATGATACAATGGAGCCGAACTTGTAAACATTGTTAAATCATAAAGAGTTTCGCCCTCTCGCCTAAGGAGAAGAGGGGGGGGGGATGGATGATAAGGGGTGTAAGGAGTGTGTTGTGTTGGCATTTCGGATTACCGAGTTGTAATTGTGTGCTTATATACTAGTGTATGTGTTCATCTTGTTGGATTTCATTCTTTTTTACTTGAATGTGCCTAATCAGAATTCATTGGAATCCTTTAACTGAATTTCAGAATTGATCTGAATTTAATTATTAGCTGTTTAATTGAACTTAATAGCTCTTGTGGCAGTTTTATAAACTTATTTGGACTTATTGGCCCCTATCTGAATGTATTTTACTGAAACTTATCTGTTAAGGGGGAGATTGGCAAAACCTTACATTCTGAGATTGGCAGTTTCATTCGCAACCAAACTAAATCCAAGAAGATCATTAGATCTTAATTCAAATTAAGGATAAGGAGACCATAAGTTTAGCTAAGGAAAAAGTTAAATCTAGTTAAGGATGGTAAGCTTAGAATAGGGGAAGGTGAATATAACAAAGCTTTAGTCTAAGAAGTTATGCAGGTTCTATAAAAATAAATTAAGGAAGTCATGTATATTTCTGCATTCTGGCAGGTGATCTGGTGGCATATTAGTGCATCTTTATAAACATTTTACTTAGGTTAGCTGATTATTATGAAGAAGGGGGGGAAGGGATTTGGTAATTGTATGCTACTGTAAATTGGGTGTGAATAAATTGCTGATCAGTATCAGTCATAAGGCCTTTTTGTGTACAAAGCTGCTTGCCAATTTGCAGATATAAAAATAAGCCCCTTCTACTTGATTATGCTGGCAAGATTTATGGCTAGTATTGTGTCAAGGATGATATTTTGCATAACTTCAGTTCTAGAATCTGACATGAAAGAATGGTCAGAGTTCAACTTTATACAAGTTTTCATGCAATGCTTCACAACTTAGGTGAAATACTCGGTATATTCTAGACAAGTCTTTATATTTGGAGGCAATGGACATGTAGTTTTACTTTCAGGATTTAGGATTATATTGGTGAAATAAGAAGAAAAAAAACCTAGCTTCAGGAATCAGGATTAGCTCTGAACGTATCCATATCTTTAAGTACTCCTAAACCCTAATGACAAATTGACAAGGATAATTTTGAAAAAATGGATTCTGGCTTAGTTGTGATTGCTTATTGAGTCACACGATTTTTGTAATAGCTATTGTTAGTTTGCTACAATGAACTTGTTATTATGAGATATCTCTGCGGGCTACATTTGAACATGCTACGCTATAGCATAATGCTACAGATACAACATTGTAGTCAACCTATGTATGAAACACTTCAGTTATAGGGTGGCTGTTTATTGCTTTTAGTGTTAGAGGCAGCCATGAATTGTTCCATTCCTTATGAGCCTGAAAAAAAAAATTAATTTAGCCATTCTTTCATGCTGTAAATTGTTCCTGTGGTTTCGATGACTCTAGTGGCCATTTAATCCAGAATTCTTGTGTGCCTTTTAAAATATGATTGAGCAGGCTCTGTCTTGGATGAAGTAAAGTGGATTTGGCTGTTCATGCCTAGAATTTATTCTTTAAGGCAAAATGCTATCATCTCAGATGGGTCATAAATCGCATGCTTGGATGATTTATTATTATTATTATTATTTTTCTGAGGTCATTCTTTGTGTAAAGCAAAGCATCAACATGTGTTTCCCGTGTTGTTCACTTGCTTGTAGAACTTTTTTGAAAGCCTAGCTGGTAGAGATTAACTTCATATGAAACTCTGACATCATGTGATCTCTTAGTTGTACAATGTAGGACTTTCAGACGAGGACTTTTATTTTTATTTAATGAGAATTAATTTATAATTTTTAAGTTTATAAGAAGTCCTGTTGGGGCTCTTTTTCAAAGGAATTTTATTGGCGATGGATTTTGGTCACCATTTGCAAACTGGTCAACTTAAACTTTCTCATGAAGATTACAAAGGCGCAGAGTCTATTCCTTATATGCTCCTTGGTTGAAAAGTTCATTTACAGTCAACACAATTATTGTTACTCCTCTCTATATATATTAGGCATTAGCTTGAAATTAAGGGGAAAAGGAACACTATCTAATATATTTCCTTAAACTAGCTCCTTTTGTTATTTGCACTTACCTCTACTCTAAGTTTTAAATTAAAAATGTATGGCAATAGACTATTGAAAGTTGTTATGGGACATCCTGAAATGGAAAAGCTCAGTATTCTACTGCATAATTGAGTCATTTAAGGTAAACAGATCTGTGTTTTTGTATTTTGTGGAATTGATAAGTTTGATGGTTTTTGGCGATGTCTAAATAATGAACCTTAAATTGTTCCTATGAACAATTGCAAAAAACACGGTCTTTATATTTTAGACTTGAATTATCCAGGGCAAATGCCGTCTTTGTTATTTACAACTCTTTACAGTGGGTTTTACCCTTGTTTTCTATGCTTCTTTTTTCTTGGTTTATGATGCAATTAGTGCCCTCTTAGTTTATTATGGAAGTTTTTTACTAACAGTGTGTTCCTCTTTTATTCTTCTACTGTCTTATCGCGTGCTTCGCTAACTGCATTTTACTGACTGTAAAAAGTCCTATCCTTTTTGTGTGGAATTTATCAATTTAGAGGAAAGGCACAAAGTATGCATCAATTGTTAAACCGGTCAATATAAGTAATATTCTTTGTGCACCGTGGTATGCCTTGGACCTGAAATCTGATTTTGTTCCACAACTCAATGAATTATGCAAATAAGAGACTTATACTCCCATGCCTGCATGTTTTTAATCTATGTTTACAGTATTCCTATCGTGAAATAGATTGATACAGTTATCAGTCATTTTGTTTTGTTGATTTTAAATTGTACTAAAAGTGTTATGCATTTCTTATGCAGAAGATTATTCAGCTCTTAGAGCAGATTGCTCTTATGAATAAGGTATTGCTAGCACGTTACAAAATTCCTGTTATAAGATCTAGCTGATTGAGAATATACCGATGGCTGTGTTTAGGAATGTGGCTGGCTCATCGGAACCGTCAACCAGGTGTGCAACTGTGTTATATGTATTTATATTTATTTATTGTATATCTTATCCATAAAGTACAGACTACAGATTGGCCTAGTACATCATTAGGCTAATATGTATATAAGTTTTGTTTAGCAGTTTAGTTTGAAGTTCTTAATGTGCCTATGCTTGTAAATGGTATTACCATTATTATTTATTGTAGTGTTTCCTTTTACTTTCTTCATTGTAATCAATCTTAGCTCTATTCTTTTATGTTGATGGATTTTGGAGTCAGAGACTTGTAGTTTTGATGGAGCTACCGCTTTTGGCTACTATCTGGCTGTTCTTTGGCATAATTTAACCGATCACATTACTGTTATTAGTTGCCTAACATCCAAGAAGAGACATCGGCCGCCTTATACTTGGTAGTTGCCGAACAACTGCTACCTGCTTTTGCAATGGAATCTGATTTGAACTTGTTAGTAGATCACTGCCCTTTATTACCTTGATTGATGCCTACTTCCTTCGTTCTTTTTTACTTGACCCGCCTTTGACTTTTATACTATTTACCCCCCTTCTTTGTCTGTTTTTTGTGAATAATATAAAAGGAAAAATATATTCACGTAGGATCTTTTCAAATTTGTATCAATAAGTAATATCATAATATATAACTTTTTTAATTGTTACCTATGGAGAATTATAGTTGTTGATCGTTAAAGTTTTATGTTGGGAATTGTAATAAAAGAAACAGTTTAAGTAAAAAAGAACGGAGGGAGTATTATCCAAAACAACCTTCCTTTGTTGCGTACATTCGGAAAGTTGCATACAACATTACAGCTGAGTCAGATTAATCTTGTCAGGAGATTTTCCGTACTTGCATCAGACAAGTTTCTTTACAGTAGTTGACAGTTTAGCTAAATTGTGATTATTAATGACCAAAATGATGCAATTTGTCTGGTGGTTGAAGTTGGCAATCGTGCTTGTACAGGAATGTCACTATTTATCCACATACTTTGTTTATTTCAGAATTTACATCAAACAACCATGTTTGAATTGGCATTTTTATATGCACGAAATTGCACGTATTGGAGTCCAGTAGTTGACAAATTATTTTTACATTTTGAATGATACTCCGTATTATGGGCCATTGTTTCTAGACATGAAAAAGAGTGCTTCTTTAGCAACATTTTGACGATTTAAACAAGATCCACTGCATAATTTTCGAATCCTTCATTGACGTATATTGATTGTAATTTGTAAGTATACATGAAACATTAGTACTCCGTATAAAACTATGGACAATTAAGAAACTAGACCAAAAATTTCCTGCTTAACTAAACCTTACAATTTAAAAATTCCATTGAAACGACGTTCATCAGCCAAAATTTGGTGTTCATTAGCCAAAAATGGTGATACTAACTCTTTCATGAACCAATGACGATATGTCTTCGGATATCAAGTTCATCCACAACCTTGAGAGGCTTATCTGTTTCGTTTCTCAATCTTTTGATGTTAGGACTCAATAAGCCCCTATGCCTGAACCCATAGAGCTTAAGAACTTGATTGTCGGCGAAGTTGAATGCCCTTTCCATGCTCTTCAAGCATTTCTCAGCTGGATAATCCCCGTAACTACCACAAGGCTTGCACCCGACAAAATGAGTCACAAATGGCCATCTCTCATCCCCTAACCCAGGATGGTGCTTCTCAGCCATTTCTTCATATTTGTCCACTAAACCCAACCAAAATCCATGCAAGTAGTAAGAATTCTCAACAAACACCTTAGACATCCACTTCTCTTTTTGGGAAATCAACAAGTATATCAATGCGGATTGATCATCCGCCTCAAAAGCTGGTCTTCCCTTCAAATTTGCTGTTAGGAGCTTCCCGGCATCATCCCTTACCACGCCTTTAGGACCCATAGGTGCCCAAACATCAAGCAAGTCCAGAGACCATTGACAATTGCGTAGCAGAAAGCTTCCGGTGTTGAGTGCAATCCATGATTTCTGCTCGAATAACAAATCAGGGTACCCATGGATCACAAGGTTATGATCTTTGTACTTCTCTAATGGAATCTCAAACACCATATCGGTGAAAAGTGCATCACTGTCCAACCACCAAATCCACTCTACCTCAGGGTGAGAAAGCATAAGCTTCCTAATCAACGGCAATTTCGCCCAATACCCTGCCATCTCCCTATCTAGATGAGCCATGTTATACATAATCTCAATTCCATGCAATCTACAATAATCAATCTTATTCTTCACCCCCTTTAACTAGTAGTGATCCCCAATGGAGTTATCACATGGATTAGGAGGTGAACCTGTCACAAGCAAAATCCGGCCTTTCCCACCTACAACACTGGGAAAATCCGGATTCTGCTTAAGCCAATTCCTACGCTGGACATCCCAAGTGTCAATCCTCGGCCCCAATGTGTAGGTCACGTTGGGGTTGTAGGGTGGCTCGTCTTGACCATCAGGGTCAGACGAGTCCTTCCCTGAACGGATTTCAGCAAGTATCCTATTAGTCTCCTCAATGAGGGCTCGGTCTTTTTTGGCTTCAGATGAGGAACCAATGAGATCACCAACTCCAATAGTGCCTCTAAGCACAAGGATGGTTATGAGCCCACATAAGACGGCGATCTTTATGTTATTGACAGTCTTCAGCGTCTGTTGTCGTCCTCGCAGGAACCCTGGACTCGGTTTCCCGTTCTCTGTGTCTGCATGACCCATTCAACAGAATGATACAATACACTTAACTGAATGAATAAATGGATGGTTGAATAAATTTCTTTTCAACCCTCTTCTCTCTCTTTTGAACTTGTTGCAATACTTATGAAAAACTAAGGTTTGATGATTATTAATAGGGGTTTTGTACAGCACTTATTTAATGGAATAAATCGATATTTAAATTTATTTCATTTCTTTGTGCTGGCTTTGACGAGTAGGGGGTATGTATCAAATGTTTGATTTTTCAATTGATTGTATCCATACTTAATTTGTTGATTGTGTTTTCTATTTATGGAATCTTATGATATAAGTTGTAAGAAAGTGGACTACCAATATCAATTCTCATTTGAGCATGATTATACAGGTAGTATATAGTCCGTCGCATGAAATATGCGATTATTTAGCTAGTCTTTTTCTAAGAGAGTTGATTTCTATGATGTTGTCTTGTCTCATTTTCTGTTGGGTAGTTGCATTCAGAATCCTTGTCAACTTCATTCATATTGACTTTTTGCTGTCATAAAACTCCGTAGCAGTATAGAAATGGAACCAAACATTAACTCATCATGTACTTTCGGTATATTCGATATCTAGATGGTTATATTATATGCCACTTTTGGTCAATCTTTGTAGTAAGAGAATTAGCATCAGGTAAAAAAAAAAAATACTCGTACACATAAAGATGGTTATGTAGGTTGCACGGACACTTCATATAGATAGTATATTTTGCGCGTATATGTTTGACAGGTATTGTATGATGACATTGTCTGAGACATCTTAATCATGTCAAATGACATATTCCTTTCATATGGATCCTGCATACTGATAGGATAATAGGAGTATAAGATATGTTGGGGAAAGTTTACAGACATTATAAGAACTTCAGAATACACTGTAAATAAACAAACCAACATTACTAGAATACAATTTAGGTAATTTTATTGTTGCTATTGAACTAGACAATAGCAATTTATACACTAAATTTGATCATTATTCAACCAAATTGTCACTTTGTTGCCTTATTTTAGGTTTGTGGTTGCAAAGATACTCAGAAAATTCATCAACATACTGTCCGTTCATACTTTTGTCAGCGAAAATGATACTCAATTTCTCTGCTTCATCTTTAAACATCTTACCAGTTTCATCTTGGAGCACCAGTGTGAGTGATTCAGCAACTGAGCTTCTAGTTAATGATCCGTCCTCTGTATTTCTTGGTATCTCAATCCCAACCTTTTTATCCTGGCTCATAAATCTAGCAATCAACCCATGATCAATAGCTAATGGTAGCATTACTAGTGGCTTTCCGAATTGAAGTGCTTCTATGATCGAGCTCCACCCACAATGCGTTAAGAACCCTCCTACAGACTCGTGACTGAGTATCCTAAGTTGAGGTGCCCAACTAGTCCAAACCATCCCTTGGCCTCGTGTTCGTTCCTCAAACCCCTCAGGCAGCTTCAGTATTGACACTTCTGATCTCCTAAACGCCCAGAAGAATGGCAATCCGGATTGCTCTAACCCGAGTGCCAGCTCCATGAGTTGGTCTTGATTCGGTTCAAACTCACTGCCAAAGGCTACATACACAACTGATCCCTTTCTTTGTTTGTTCAACCAGCTGTTGATCAACTTCCATGAATCATCATCATCTCCTAGACCCTGATCTTCCAAAGAAGGCGGTAGCAACCCCAAAGGAAGCACAGTTTTTTCATTAAGAACTTCAGCAAGCTGAAGATACTCTGCCTCCAGCTCTCTCCAGCTCCGAACAACAATCAAATCGCAGCCACTAACAGAACACTTGACTCGAAAGCCATCAGAAACACCAGAAGATGTTATGTTTCTTGCAGTATGTGTGATGTTTCTTGACTCATGTTGAAGAAAATAGACAGAGCTCTTAGGAAACGGAATCCAAGGGGGAGGACAACAGGGGTCGGTCCAAGTACCCGAACCGGCTTCCATCAACTTTGTAGGAAAAGCTGAAAGTGTCCTTGCTGCTGTTATGTTGAAGTACACCTTACAAATACCGAGTTTATCAGCAATAGGAGGTATCCAGTAACAACAGAAGTCGTAAATGATCCAATCCAAACAACAAGAAGATTGTAATAAAAACTCGGTCATGGGTTGTTGTAGACCATCAAAGGCCTTCTTAAGGAGATTAGTTCCAATTTCAAAGCCAACGTCGGAAGTAGCCTCAGCACCAGGTGGTAGGTTGTCAACTCGAGGCAACAGAAGAGGGACTAGAGTGATCAAAGTGGCTAGCCTTTCAGGGATTTTTGGAAGGCGTTCGAGGTTTCGAGGGGTTGACACAAAGAAAATGTGGTGTCCCTTAGTAGCTAAGTGCTTGGAAAGGTCTAGGAAAGGTATAATGTGACCAAATGCTAGCCATGGAAACATAACTATGTTGAGCTTTTTGTTGTCTTCCATTGATGTTTTTCTTGTGAAATTTGTTGAAGTTCAATAATATTTAGATTAGGCCTGTTTAATTTAGAATTGTTGATTTTGTGGGTTTTTTTTTTTTATTTTTTTTTATTTTTTATTTTTTATTTTATTTTATTTTACGGCGAGAAACACATGGTTAGTAGTTACTAGTTAGAGAGTAGAGACGTATCCAACCGAACGGAATATCAAGGTTGAAGGAAGTTGTTGTCTTAATGTGAAATTTCTCCAAATAGAGGTCCACTAGATTGTTTGAATTAAAGTTGGAAAAAGAAAATTAAAAAATCTTGCTACAATAAATTGATGATTAGATTGATTACTAAAAAAGACAATAATTTTGTTATTAACGATAACATTAGTGAAATACTAGCTACTTATATGTATAAAGGCAATAGCTAACGAGCGTCCGGAATATTAGATTAGAAAAATAAAAGTAGAAATATTAAAGTAAAATTAATATTTAAACTACGGACCGATGTGTGATTTTGTTTGCATCCTAACTTCATAAGAGCAATTTATTAATTTATTATGGAGTAATCGCGTTGGGGGATCAAGACTTGGTTTGTTACGTTTGAGACGATCTCAAAAGATGTTCATGTCGTTTTATTGGAGAATCTAAATGGGGTTGCTTAGCCAAGATTTATGTTGGGCTGGGAGGTTTTAATAATGGAGTGTAGGCCCTTATGGCTTTAGCTTTCCTAGTTCTTTAATTTGCTGTACTCTTTGTTATGTTTTCTTTTCTTTTGCTTGTCTTTGTCTTTGGGTGTGTTTGTTTGTTGATTTGAGGCTTTGCCCCTCTCTTCCAACAAAAAAAATAAAATTAGTTAATGGTAGATTGGTAGGGTGTTTGTTAGCAAGATTCATGTATAATTTTTCAAGTCTTACTCACTTTTTATTTTCTAAGTTCTATTCACTTTTACTTTATTCCTTTTATGATAACTTTTTATTTATACCCCATTTTGTGAAACCTAATTTCATTTAATAAATCTCTTACTCTCAATCTCTCTCATCTTTACAATTCTCATTTTACTAGCTATAGAAACTGAGTAACACTTAGCAAAGTGAAGATAGTAGCAAAGTTATAAAAAAGGGATTGATTTGAAGACAAAATTAATGTTGATTACTTACTTAGTTACTTTAGCTGTGAATACATTAAATTTGTTAGGGAAAATAATGTCCTAAACCAAGTAGTGTCTGATGTAGTTGCATGATCAATGATGTTTCACCTTTTGGCTATGTTATTATACATCCATGCGGCTTAATGTTCTATACTACACACTCTGTACATATTTTCTTAAGAAGCATGAACCTCTTTTAATATACCATATTTTTTCACAAATAATTAGCCAGCCCATATCCAAGCTCTTAGAAATGTAGGGGAGGGAATAAATAAGGAAATCCCCTCCAAGAATGAACCGTATTTAGTAGAAATTGAGTGCCTGTATAAGATAATTAAAAAATAAATAATACGTTTTATGTGCGGTTGGCCACATTATGTGACCGTTTGAAAAAAAAACAAAGTAATCATATTACATAGATTGAGTAATCACTGTAAAAATGTACCTGTAATTTTGATCGAGTAACCCGATTGAATATAAATGGTTGTTGTACTTGTTTTTTTTTTCCCCTACCTTATAAAAAGTAGAAAATAACTCTTAAGAATAGTGATGATAGAAAAAAAAAATGTATAAAATATGGAGAGAATTTAAGAGGAAAAATATAACTAAGCGGTTATTGCTTTAGTAATAGATATAGATATTAAATGGTCGTAGAACATTGAACTTACATTATTAAGTTTTTAGCTACAACGAACATTTCAAATATTATTACTCCGTATGACCAACCTCACAAAAAATTCGTTTGAATAAAAAATAAGTTAAGTATTATTGAATCATGCAAATCAATTAAGAGTTCTAAACTAGCTTAAGATATGAAGGGATGCAAATCAATTAAATATTATTTAATAATTAGGGATGCAAATCAATTAAATATTATTTAATAATTATTTTGAAATAACACTGTCAAACTTGGTTTTAAAATATAATTCATTAAAAATTTTGGTGGTTTTTTTTTTTTTATATTTCTACAAACCACTATATAGGCACATAAAACAAACAATATATATTAAAACTACTAGATTTACCACCCAAACCAAAGGTGTAACTACGCGCTAATACAACTTCTATGCAAAAACTATCTCTTTCACGCGGGTAGGATACCCTAGTAAAATACTTCCCCATTTCACTGCCATATAATTACAGAGCTGTTCGTAAAGAAAAACACAATTACAGAACTGGGCTCAACAGCATCAACTTTCTCTCTCATCGGAAACGCAATGGCGGGAAATCAAATTTCCGGCGACGGTCTAGCGTCAAACCTCGCCGGAATGTCAAAGAACCAACTTTACGACATCATGTGTCAAATGAAGGCAATTTTCTCTCTCTTCTTCTCTATTTCTTTTCAATTTTTCCAACTATTTTTCTTTATTTTCATTGCTAGATTAATACTAAACTAATCAATTAACACTTTTTATCAGTGAATTTTTTGCGAAATTTGTTGATGATTGTGGAAATTTTGTTATTTTACAGTCGCTAATTGAGCAAAATCAGCATCAAGCGCGAAAGATTTTGATTCAAAACCCTCTTTTAACAAGAGCCCTATTTCAGGTTTAAATTAGGTTTTTATTAGTTTTTCTTTTTTGGGATTTTATAAAATTTTATGTTGTTTGTCACCAATTTATGAGCTTGTTATCATTGCATAAAATACTGATTTTATCTGGTTATGAGGGTAGAAGTATTAATGTTCAATTTAGGGTGAACTGAAATTTGAAGTTGAAATACGCGATTATTTGAATTGCCTGGGAAGATTTTGTCCGTCGCTACGAGACGTTTCATTGCAATGTTGGTGAATTTATATTTTTTGAATTTGATTATTGGAGTATCTGAATTGTCCGGCAAGGTTTGATTGTTTTGGGGACATATTACTATGCAATTGGGTAAATTAGTGTACTTTTACTCGTACATCATCAACGCGCCTCTCTCCATTAAGGAATTACTCTTTCTTATTAGCCCATCTCTAATTGTATTTGGTATTACTTCTTTGAGATGTTTAAATAGCAAGGAATGTGGTACTTAACGGTAGAGATAGCTTTTTCTATCTTAAACGTGTTACCTTGGGATATTAGGATTATATTCGATGTTTATGTCACATGTTGAAGTGCCCAAGGATTTAAGGAAGTAAGAAATACAACACTTTATTGTACTCCGTATAATCTTACTAAACTTTCCTTTGTCATGAGAGGAAACAACTTCCACATTTATATGGAGGCCTTGACTTGTGAAAATTATCGAAATGGTACAGATCTTTCACAGTGCATTGCTATTGGCAAATGTCATTTGTAGATGATGGGATCATGTAATCTTAAGCATGTAATTAAATGCCTCCATCCCTTTTGAAATTACACTTTAATCTATGTTATATCCTTTCTGATTCACTGTATCTCCAAGGAACAAAAAAACTTAGGTACATTTCTGTGGAGAATCAAATATGAAGAGCCCAAAAAATATCAATATTGCTCCCTTTTTGGGGTTCACTAAGTGACCTTTTTTTCTTTTTATTACCTGAGGGGGTGGGGGGTGGTCAAACTCTAAGAAGTCTTCACCAGCAATCCTTTGAAAATGTGAGGAGACAGATCAAGGGGAGAAAAGATGCAACTGGCAGCAGGGAATCCAGTTGAATGAATTGAAAGCGTTAATTGATACATAGGAATTGACAACAGTTTAAGGCTTTTGGTCATTGGAAAGAGGATTGGGTAAGTGATTTGATTGGAGAAGGTGATTCGATGAGGTGGAATGAGAGCGGAAGCTTTTACAATTGTTGTCTATCATATTCTCTAACCTGTTCTTGAATAATGGCTTTTCTTTAGCTAGCTGAACTACATTCTTTTCTGCTCCTTTTTATCTTCTTTGTTTTAAACATTTACATATACATACACTTCCCTAATCCCTGTAATAATCAACTGATATTGAATCTTTTTTTGAGCACCAAATGTACTGAGTGAGGTATCATGGTTGCGTACTTTTAATCCAAAGGTTGGAGTGTTGGTGGGGTTATATAAGGGATTTTTGTCTTTAGCCTTTCTTTCCCACTTCTTTATTTGTGTGCCAAAAAAAAATGTGTCAACTAATAAAGAACAGAGGAGGTATTTATTTAGTGGGAAGCTGTAAGTTAAGGAAGTTTACAATGCCAAGCAAGTGCTGCAGGAATTTTAATCTGGCACCAATACTTTCTGAGTTTCTGCTGATATGCTGGTTTGAAAGTTTCTTGATCTATAATACTCTTACAGTTAACTCTCTAATTCCACACTAAGATTGTAAATTTATTTTCTTTCTTTATAAGTTATGAAATGGTATTTGACTGTGTAACCTCTACATTATTTCACTCTTTGATATACTTGCTATGAAACTTTAGTTGTTTGGTATGTGATGATTTGATGATGTATGACCATTAGATTTTGTGGCTGCTAATTGAGTTAATTTCAGTGTAGGTAGAAACTCCAAACGATTCTGCATTTTCATGCATTGTAATTGTCTTCTATATTGATACTGTCATTTCTTTCTGTGTTGGAGAGTCTTGCTTTTATTGTATTTAAGAATTTGAGTGACAGGGTTTAGTTTCTAAAGGTATCATGTTTGCTATCTTAAGAATTTCATATAAGTGGAATCACGCACACTGATCTTATGTCTTGGAATAGCTTTTTACTTGAAGTAGTCTTTATTTGCTACCTTTGTTTGCTTATTGATTCTAAATTTCCATTGCATGCCCCACAGGCACAAATCATGCTTGGTATGGTGCAGGCGCCACAATCGGTAACACTTTTTTCTGTGTATATTTTCTTCCACCTTTAGCAACTAAGTTTAGCATAGCTAATAGACTATGACCCAGGTTCAGAGCAATCAGCCTCAGGCAGCACCGCAACCATCGCCTCCTGTTCAGCAAACAAATATCCATGCAGCTCACTCGGCACCTAAGCAAGTTAGTTTGGCTGACCAAGCAAATATATCCCAGGCTCATGTTCCTGTGAGAAAGCAACAACATAATCAGCCTTCATTGCCAATCACGTCAACTCCTGTGCAGGGTATGCATTCTCAGTCCATACCACCACAAGCAGTTGAGCAGCTTAGGGGTCCCTTGAATACCCAGGCAAGCCAAATGCCACATCCGCAGTCTTCTCAAGTTCCTAATATGCCCCCATTACCAATGCATTCTGGATCACAGCCTCCTCCTGTTCATCAACCCCCCATGCCACCTGTTCCTGGCCATGTACAGCAACCAATGCAAACAACTGGTGTTTCCCATCATCAGCTTCAACCTCCATTACCTCCACAGCCTAGGCCTCCAATACAGATGCAGTATCAACCACCAATTGGAACAAATGTCAACTTTCAGAATGCTGGCATCCCTCAAATGCACCATTCTCAGCCTATGTATCATGTAAGCTGTAATTTAACTTTTGGTTACTATGTCTTCATTTTGTGTTCTAATTTTTTGTTTTCTTGGTGGAGGGGTGGGGATGGCTTGGGCTGGCCTTTATTAATTTCTAGCATTTGTCAATGCTGTTATGATTCTACTTCATTTTAATCGCTTTCTGTTGACATATCTAGACAAGTAGCAGGCCTCCTGCTGGAACTGGACCATTTACTCAAGGGCAACCGCCTCCTCTCCCTCATCAGCCACCTCATCAGTCACTCTATCAGGTATTTGTATTGCTCAAAATTC